TGTAGTTATAGTAAACATACCATGTTATCAATGAACAGGAACACTCATAAAGGATTCCTGTTCATTGATAACAGGGGACACAGAATAAGAGATCGAGGACTCTGTGTCCTCAATCTCTTTTTCTGGGGGGGCGAAAAAAATTTCTGCCCCGGGCGCCCAGAACTCTGGTTACGCCACTGGTTGGTAGCACAGTTTACTTTCAGCATTCATACTCACCTTCTGGATCTGGTGGTAGTACTGCTAGAATGTCCAAAGATTCCTAATGACTATTCTTAAAAGACTAGGCACTTACCACTACTCACTATTTAATAGCAATCAAGCCTGGCCATAGTGCTCCTGGAAGGGACATACTGTATATGTTTTACTGTTATTGATATTGTCAAGGAAAATCTTATTCAACAAAGCACTGGGAAAAGCAATGGTGATGTGTAAGAAGCAGTTATTGACAGCGCTGATATTCTCATATTAAGAATGGAAAACTAAGATCTGATTGGCTGATTTATGTTACTACCAGTGCAATTTGAAAACCATAATTCCTTTTTTGGGGGCGCAGCTGGTGTAAATATCTCTTAATCTGACTAGTAAATATGGGTTTGCAAAATCATGATCCATTCAAAATACTAACCTCATATTAAATTAGGGCACATCCTTATCTTTGCATTTTAACATAGGCACTTTAATGCTTTTCAACATGTATGCACAAATATTAGTCCATGCTGTTAGTACTGTATTTGCTGGCGTATAAGACTACTTTTTATACTTAAAAGCATCCCCCGAAAATGGGGGGTCGTCTTATACAAGGGGGATACAATGTATACCTTTAGTTCGTTTAGGCCGAGCTGGTCCAAAACGAACATCCCTAATCTGTCAGCCCAATGGATGTACGGTAATACTGTATGTACGGTAGCTTCGGCGACATACAGTAGGGGAACCAATCACGGCGAGCGATGTACACAACCTCTGCCAATCCAAGCAAGCTTTGTATTCATTAGAATACATTGCTCGCCGTGATTGGCTCAGCGGTATACTGTATGTAGCTGAAGCTACCGTACATACAATATTACCGCACATCCATCCGTGATGTTTTTAAATGGTGATGCCTCGGAAGTGGGGTAGTCTTATATGACGAGTATAGCCGAAAACCTATGTTTTAAGTGGAAAATTAGGGGGTCGTCTTATACACCCAGACGGCAAATAAGGTACTTTTTTTTAACTTTAGGCAATTTCAGCAAAAGCAGAAAATTAGAAATAGTGCATAGAAACAAGAACATTTACAATTGGTGAAATACATCCACCAAGTGTATACAGATATTTGTGGGCATTGACAAATAGTGTAAAAGGTGTGAAATCCTCGAGCGAATGATTTGCTATTGATCGTTAAATATGGAGGAATCTGTTTCCGAAGACTGGTCACTTGTTAGCCCAGACTTTCTGTTACAAATTATTGCATTGTCACTTTAATGTTTCTGGTTTTTAAATGCAGTACATCTCGGACTGGCCTCATTAGTTTACTGTGATTATATGTTTTAATTAAAGGTTAAACCATTTTATGCTTTAATTAGCAGAAATAATAATAAAACGTTGGCAGTGCTTGTTCATTCCTTTGTATCTACAGAGCAACTGGCTTTTTCTTATTAGCTACACTCCTCTATGTTAAGTCAAGACATAATAACACTAAAACTAGTATATTAGGAGTCTCCCTAAACACCAATATGATTAGATTCAAATCTTCTAGTGATAATGTCTCCTGCTTACTAGACACACGCACACACACCTATTGTCTTTAGCATGCGAAAACATACAAAATCACAAACTATGCACAACACATATGCTCACACTGGGACTTAATATTAAATTGGACTTTTACTCAATTGTTAACATAAAGATTTTGTTTAATATTTTTGATGTTTTTACCTGCATAGGCGACTGGCTTTGCTCTCATTGATATGTAAATAATAACAGAAGAGTTTATACTTACTATTCCTGGAGAGAATGCTGAAAGGGCGGGATACTCCTTCATTTCTACTGAACCGAAGGGGTCCTGGGGCCGAAGCTAGCTGAAGGATCGGCCGAAGAGCTCTGGACAGAATTAAAGTTAACCTTCGCAGTGGGCCATGGGGCTCATTTTGGCATAGGGTCTAAAAAAACAAAGATATACACACCTAAACCTCAGTCCCTCCTGAGTGCTAGACCGGTCCCCACAACCACTATCTCCCTCCACTCCAGCAGTGGAATGTCCCTTGACATCCTCACATCTAATACACTCTGTGAAGTGACTGTGGGGACCTGTCTAGTCAGGCAGGATGGAGGATCTGGTGATTATATCTTTGTTTTTTGAGCCCTGTAGACAAAATGAGCACTTAACCCTTGCAGTGCGGGTTTAGCCCCACAACAAGGGTTACATTTTTTTCTGCCTGGACGTCATTAAGTTGTATGTATATGAAGCAACAAGCAAGAATTAAACAAAACAGTAGCATCAATCACATGTATGATCCACTCAGTAAAACTGCAATTTAGCTTTCTAACATGGCATTTATACTAAGGAATTTCTATTCTCAACTCTTCTGGTTCATCTGGAAAATGTCAGCCCATGTCATTACCTTATATTTTGATAGAAAGGGCTGAAAGTGATGGTAATCCCAAATTTAAAAAAATAAACATAGTACTGTAGATCCCAGCACTAAGCTAGTTTACATGTTCACTTTCATTTTGATGCTATGGTTGCTTTCAAATCCTCTTGCAAAAACTCCTCCCTCTCAGGTTTCTGTCTTTGGGTGGTTCTTTCCCCTTACAGGGACCCAAGGAGCCATCTTTGCATGCACGCTGCTGCCTGGATACATGTCTTGCCTCCATTCAAGCTGATGGCCCTGGTGGCAAGCTACGCCCATGCCCCCCTCTCCAGCTGCCGATTGACAGTGGCTGAAGCCTGCACTATATTTAGAGGAAGCAACACTATGGAATGTTTGGACACAGATATAAGGAAAAATGTACTGGGTAATGTTGCACTGCTTGACATTACCCAGTACATTTAAAAAAGACAGAGGGTTTAACACTATTTTAAGTGGATGAATACCATCCTTAAGTCTTCACAAGCTATGTTAAAGTTATATAAACAAAAGGTGTATAATTGAGGTATGTATGCTATTACCTATTAGCAGGGGCAGCAATATTTCCAAGTCTTCTGCAGCTTGCAATCCCAGTTAAGTGGAAAACAGTAGGAATCATTTATGAATATTCTGACATTTAATTTAATCTTTGAAAAACACCTTGACCCAAAACAAATGTTTTAATTTTGGCTGTTAAACACTCAGATAAATCACCTAAATTGTATCTAGAACAAATTAAGAAATTGCCCACACTTCTGGTATACAGTTGTAAGAAGACAACATTTTATAACATGTAAATCAACTTGATGGCCACTTTTCAAGAACTGAACGCCAGTCTATGTACAATTTGACAGAACTTTAGGGGAAAAAAACTGTGTGACTTTGTAGGAATGATAACCCTGTACTACCTGTCCCAGTGACAAATGAGGACATAGACAGCCATAACATTTGACATAGTTAATTTTCC